TGTGTGTGTGTGTGTGTGTGTGTGTATGTGTGTGTTTGTGTGTTTGCGTGTGTGTGTGTGTGTGTGTGTCCATGCTCATTGCCAAATTTCTGATATGGCCTGGTAGCATCTCTCCCGGGGCCAAGGGAAAGACTGCGAGTGTCAACAACGGCCACAGGGGCTCGCTGGAAATATGGACAGTACCAATAAGGGCATATGGGAAACTTTTGTGCTGGTTTTCAACGGCCATCCGGTAGGGGGTACTGGTACCGGTAGGGGCATATGAAACATTTTTCAGGCCCAAACGACGCCAGGGGTTTTCTGGAAACATCATTCGTCGTCAGAGGGGCACGACAAGGTAAGTCGGCCGTCAGAGGGGCACGCCGCAAATAAACACAAACTTCAGGGGCATTTCAAAAATTTTCCCTTTTTTTTTTTACTAAATAAAATAAAAACCACAAAACTAAAAGCCACTATAATGTCTTCATTATAAAGTAAAATTTGTTTTGAACTTAGCACACTGAATAGTGAAATGCCAAATACATGAGTTTACGCATTCTGATCTTACTTTCTTCTTTGTCCAGATTCTAAAAGCCTGCGTTGCTCGGGTAAAACATAAATTTTAGTTTGAGGATCCGTTTATCTCGGATTGTTCGCCGAATGATCTTATACAAAGTTCCATGATTTACGGCTTCAGAGCCTTTGGCTTCCAGGGATCCTTCAAATATACCATTGTGCACCTATGTTACACCGCGTTGATTGAGCGCGGCATCGGAGCTCAAATTTTTTAGCGTCGCTCAATCCCGTGCTCAAAAGCGCTTGAGCAAGGTTTGAACGGGCGAGGGAATAATGTTTTCCTCGGGAAAGAATTTAAGAAAAATCAAAAACATAAAAAAACAAAAAAAAACAAAAAAAACAATATGACCACTGAAGACAACTGACGTCATCTTCACCCCCCCCTTCCATCTCCCTATCCTGCAACCTCTCCTCGCACACCACTATACACACCTGTCTATATGGCTATCTATCTATCTATCTATCTATCTATCTATCTATCTATCTATCTATCGATTCGTCTGTCTATCTATCGATGTATGTATACTACTGTACACCTTTCTATATGTGCATGTGCATCACTGACGCATCAGAAAGTGCAAAGCGCCAAGACCTACAAACGCGAACACAACAACGCTTGCAACAAACAACACGAGAATACCCAACATGAGAACGATACGGGCCGCAGTGCACCCGCCTTGCAACCGTTGCAGTCGGCCGCACTTTCAACGACAATGACTGTAGGATGACGACATCCACAACAGCAACACGACCATGGAGACCTTCGCCACTCATGATGTGGCAACCAGTTGCACGCCACACCTTCACGGTTTCTGACGACAACTGCCGAACGCTCCGTCACACGGGCTGTGCACGTGTCAACACCCGACAACCACGGGCGACGGACCTGCCACCCACGACCTCCCCGCCCGCTCAAAACTGGTCAACCGAATCCTTGTCCCACCTTCCGGGCCAAAAAAGATGATGGGATGGAAGCCAGCACCTTCTCTCACAGTCTGCCCTCGCGGAGGCCGTAAACACTGCGGCTGTGCCACGCGTGAATGTGTCTGCCACGCTGCATTTGTGACACAATGCCTGGCCTGAGGAACACCGAACCTTGGATTCGGGAGACGAAGCGGCCGACCCCCCCACGGCGTGCGTGCAGCGTTCACGAACGACCCTGCATGCGAACAGTGGAAGAAGGACATCGGGTTCTGCATGCAGCAAAGCCTACGTGCTTGTTGTAGCGATACGGAGGCGGGCGACAAAAATCCAAAATCTCAGGGCCGTTGGAGCGCAGGAGAAATTCAAAACGAAAAATGACGAGGACCTCCCCACCCCACACGCTGCCACAGTCCAGGGCCCAACGGTCCCGTGCGACAACACCCCTTGTCCGGCCTCAGGCCCGCTGGACCAAACACTGGACCAGGACATGTCCGCTTTCCAGGTGCCCTACTTCCGTCCGAATGTGCCTTAGTACGCACCCAAGAGGTAGGTAAACGGGCCGAATTTTGGAAAACCGGAATTCAGGGCGACGTAGGAATAAGGGGGCCTCCTTCGGGACATCCGTTTTTTATTTTTATTTTTATTTTTTTTATTAAATTAATTTAATATCGTGTGGTCCGATGGACCACTGATCAGAACAGATACTACACTTGATCTTAGCCAAAAGGCCGAGAAAGGTATTACATCCGTTATAACTGGAACGATACAGAGAAGATTAGCATGGCCCCTGCGCTTTCAAGGATGGCACGCGTAAATAGAGGAATAGAGGAAATAAGGGGGCCTCGCACCGAGTGGAAACGGTCGGCTTCCACGACCCCAAAATCCTTCTGTTGGGGTCTCGGAATTTGCCTCGCAACTTCGAGGCAACTTCTGAAACCCTCAGGAACATCTTTTTTTTTTTTTTTTTCAGGAACATCAACTATTATGTGAGGTGAGAGAAAAATATATGGCTGTCCCCAGGCAGCTGGAATGGAGGATCTTGTGAAGTGGGATATCGCGTCAGCCGCCGATTCCATGACATGGCAGAAGCCAGTTAAAAAGTATGTGAGGTGAGAGACAAATATATGGAGTCCTTCGGAACATCTGTTAGAATTGGAACGATACGGAGAAGATTAGCATGGCTCCTGGGCAAGGATGACACGCATAAACGTACGTCATGAATTTAAGCGATCTGGGCGTCCATGTTCATCCACAAGAAGACAGGATTATACAGTAGGGCACAGGGAAACACGTGATCGTGTGAATCCGCAGAAAAAATATTTCTGATTTGAAATATTGAAATTGAAATTGAATCTGAATCTGAATCTGAATTTGAATTTGAATTTTAAATTTAAATTTGAATTTGAATTTGAATCTAAGGTCGTACTCACACGAGCACCATGTATCTGACCACATTTACGTCCGAACCTGGATGCATCTGGCCACAATCACGTCAAGAAATAAGTAAAAAAAAGTCCTAGTGCGAGTATGCCCTCGGGTGGTACGTGCATGGTGCCCCCACGTTGATAAATAAATAAATTTTGGCTAAGTAAGATCAAGTGTAGTATCTGTTCTGATCATTTTAATATCTGATCCGTGGTCAATCGGGGCACATTATATTAAATTAGTTAAAAAAAAAAGTAGGGGGCTTCTTTTTCTTTTTTTCTTTTTTTCTCTGTTGTCCTAGGCTACCAGCCGGGCCGCCCGGGTCACCTTATTTTTTGGCTAAGTAAGATCAAGTGGAGTATCTGTTCTGATCAGTTTAACGTCTGATCCGTGGTCAATCGGGGCACATTATATTAAATTAGTTTAAAAAAGAAGTAGGGGGCTTCTTTTTTTATTTTTATTTTTTTTTTCTATGTTTTCCTAGGCTACCAGCCGGGCCGCCTGGGTCACCTTATTTTCCCGGTCGGCCCGGCCGTGCAAGGACCAGGGAAGGTCCCAGCCTTCCCCCACCCCCCCAAAAAAAAAATCCAAAAAATCCGAAAAAAAACTATGTTATGCAGAAAACTAAACTGAACAACGTTTGCCTCAGGGTCACATCGAAATGCTTTACCAAATTTTAAATAAAAATTATTATTATTATTCTTTTTTGCCAGGCCGGGCAAGATGTTTTCCCAAATGTTCGGGGCTTGCTCACCCCCTTTTGGTCATTTCTTCTATTTCCTTGCCACATCCTTTTTCAGTATAAAAGATCCACTTGAGTGTCCAAGGGCCTCGCCATGCTCATGAAGGGGTCATATTATCCCCATAAAGGGGTCATATTATCCCCATAAAGGGTTCATGGGTTTATCCTGTTTCTACCTTCACTTTTTCGTAGCGTTGTAAGTATACTTGTGGACTTCTAGCGGTCCTTTGTTGACAACTCCTTTCTTCTTCTTCTTCTTCTTCTTCTTCTTCTTTGTTTCTTCTTTCTTTGTTTTCCTTCTTCTTCTTCTTTCGTTTCTTCTTTCTTTGTTTTCCTTTTTCTTCTTCTTCTTCTTTTGTTTCTTCTTCTTCATGTGGTCATTTTTTTTCTGAGTAGTACGTGCGAGGTTGTAAACATGTACGAGTGACTGTTGTTGGCCGCTGTTTATCATAAGTCTTTTTTTTTTTTTTTCTTGTTGCGCAGTCGAGCTCGATAGTCTTGCCATTCCGTTCGTCAGTTTCCTGTTTCCTTTTTTTCTTAACGCATTTTCTTCCCCCAGTTTTCCTTTTTGGTTAGTGATTACTTATCACTACCCTGTTTTCGTGTGTGTCTGTTTGTGTGTGTGTGTGTGTGCGTGTTTTTTATTTTTTTATTTTTTTAATTTTGGTGTGGGTGTGTGTGCGTGTGTTCCAGTTGATCATTTTTCGCTGTCTGCTCGTCATCTGGTCAGGCACCTTGTACTGGTTCGGCGGCGCATAAGGGGTACGCAGTCGTGAACCTTAATTGTGTGTTTAATTCAGGTATTGTCAGTGATTGATAACTGTAAGTGATTAATTACTGTGAGTGATTAATGAGAAGGAATGTACTCTTAAGATGTTTATTATTATATTACGAGTATTATAGTAATGTAATGTAAATTCTATGGTACGACCGTCTTCTACCCTGATAATGAATGTGTATACAAGCTATCTTTCCGGTCCGATACAACCAAAATGAGGGGGCGTTGTGTTCGGGGGAAGACGGCAGTAATCTGATTACAGACAGTAACACGTCATGCACTGGCTCAGCTAGCTGATCAGTTTTCTCTTTCTTTCTTTCTTTCTTTCTTGTTTACGCCAAATTGTTTTTTCT